ATTCCTCTGTGTAATCAGATAAGTGGGAGTCCTTTCTATCTTTTCCATCGCGGATGACCAAGTTAGGGCACCCCATCTGGGTCCACATTCCTGCTGGGAGACCCTCCCCTCTCTCTGACTTCCAGCAGCAAAACCCAGCCCTCCCTGGAGTGATCACTGAAAGGCTGTTCTGACTTTGGGCCCGAGCTCCAGGCGCTGAGTCATATCAACCAGAGAATAGAAATCTAGATTCCCCCAAAACAATGGGGCAAGAGGGATTTCACTGAAGAGCAGTCTGCGCTTTCTAAAGGACTGTAAAGTAGGATTCTCTTGACTAATGAACTCTGCTAGTGCCCTTAGGATGTGGCTTGATTTATAAATATTTGATTGGCGCACACTTTGCTCAAGAACATTTCCAGTTGTGTTGTGAGCAGTGCCAGTAATCCTGCTCTCCGGTAGCCTCTGACGTGCAAGGGGAGGAGAGGCCTTGTGGGCTGCAGGAGGACGCTGCAGGTCTGGGATGCTTGTCTGCAGATTATTATTCCCTGGTTATTCTGCCAGTTATTAATTCTATGGAGGAATAAGTCATGGTCCGTCTTCACCAGAGAGGAAGCTTCCAGAAAGAGCAGACTCAGACATAGAGCCCTTCCTGCCTTTGCCGGCTTGCTCTGCCCCGGGAGTTAGACAGGGCAGTGCTTGCTGAGCCAGTGCCTGGGCACACTTTGCCTTCATGCCAGGTCTTAGGGGCTCCACCCTAGAGCCTAGTCCCAGAAAAGCAGAGATGAAGAGTCACCCTCACTTCTACGAGCAACTGTGGTGCTCATTAAATGTCACAGACTTGGAAGATCAGCTGATTAGATAAAGAAGACTAAGCAAGCCTGGGAATGATGCTGATGATGATAGATGCTGTTTTCTAAGTACTTATTGTATGCCTGATACTCTGCCAAACACTTTTATAAACATTTTCAAGTTAAATATTCCTACTTTTGTATGAGCTAGGTACATTTATCATTCTCATTTTTAAAATGAGGAAACTGAGGCACCCAGAGGTGAAGTAACTGTCCCAAGGTGACACAGAAATAGTAAACAGGACACTGGGACCCAGGCCTACCTCACCTGAGCCGTATGACAGGCTGTGGGAATCCAACATGTCTATTTAATCCATTTGTGGCAAAACCACTGTTACAGTGTTGGTGTCAGGGGCAGTGGTGGGCAATGGAAAAACCCTTAATCTTGGAAGTAGATGTGGTTGGTGCCAAGCTTTCCTAGTTAGGAGCTGGTCACACCTATGTTCTCAGAGTGATGACAAAATAAACTTACAGGGTTGTAGTTAGGCAGAAATGAAAGAGTCTAGTGTAATGCCTGGCACATATATATGTGTGTGTGTGTGTGTATTATTGAATATATTATTGAATTTGAATTTATCTGCCCCCAATACAATTTGGCTCACCAAATCAGTGTTTACTGGGTATTATACCAAGTGTCAGGCAAATGCCAGACACCAAACTTTCAGTATTAGGCAAGAGACAAAGTCCTTGTCCTCAGGGAGTCCAGTGGGAGACCAGACCATTAAATAATCACACACACAAATGTAGAATTATAATCCCAAGGCGAGCTACATGATAAGTGAGATATTCTCCAAATGCTCTGTGCCTAAAATGGAACTGGCCATCTTGCCCTATACCTGCTCCTCTTCTAGGACCCTCCCTCTATGGTGACACCATTTACCCATCTCTCAGAGCCCAACTCAATCCCAGGAATCAATGGAAACCTCACAAACTGTACCCTGTGGCCCCAGCATCTGCAGCTCCCCCTGGCTAATTTTGCCTGGCGTTGGTAGTATGGGAATGTACCCAGTGTTCACAGACCATATTGATGAAGGCCTATAGCTGTGATATGAGGCATGGTAAGGACACAGACCCAACGCATCTTCCCTACAGACCAGAAATTCCCATCGCTGGAGACATTTTACACAGGTCTCTATGGGAATGGCCTTCAGGCAAGTACCCATTGTGGGTTTATACCACTGTAAGAAAGATTAGGTACTTGGAAACTTATTCTCTTAAAGGAGGGTAGAAGATAAACTTTGAAATTTTCTCCAGGGTAAATTTGGAGACAAAAAGAAGCTGTGAAAAGCAGTTATTTTTGCCTTGTAGAGCTGAAAGGCAAACAGTTCTAGCTTGTGTGATTTATTTAATTAAGCCAATATTTGATTGGCTTTTAGAAATGTTCTTCTTGAAGGAAGTCTTAAAGTGTAACTCTACCTGTCACCACAGTCTCTAGTCATGCTCAAAATAATAATAATAACTGTGCTGAGCACAGTTATCCAGGGAACCTCCTCCCTGCCTGCTCAAGGCTTGTTCTGTTTCTGAATGACCCTTGAAATTCAGAAGGGCCCTGGCAGTACCACTATTGAGCAGAAGAGGGCGACAGAACCGCATTCAGAGAGGGCATCCACCAGTAAGATTCCTCTCACTCGTGGAATCTCAATAGTTTTCAACCTTGTGCAGCTCCCAAAGTCATGTTCTTATTCCTAGTCCACAGAGGGAGAAACTGAGTCTCAGTGAGATTAAAACATTTTACTTAAAGTTGGACAGCTGAAAACACTGGAGACATTTAAGTTTCTAAACAGAAGAGGATGATTGGAAGAGTCATAGGGCCAGGGCTTGAAGCTTCTTTTGCAGGGTACTTTATGTAAAATAGACAGAACGTTAATCGTCCGGTGCTGCTCTAATTAATAAGAGACAGTGCAGGGATGTGGTCTCAAGCCTTCGGATTCTAAATCTAGGCCCCTGCCTCTGCAGAGGGCCTGTGAGTTTTTTATCCAGTTCCCCTTGGCATTGGCAGGTACAGGATTGGCTCTCTGCCCACCCACCTCAGTTACTCTGATTTCTGTCCTCTTAACCCTTGCCCTTAGCTCCATGGTAAGCAAATAATAGGTTAAAACAACAACACAATATTGGAGGGAGGCCTTAAAGTGAAGCCTGAGTCTAGGCACTTGGCCTTGTACTATATAACAAAGGAGACTAGAAGGTCTTCAATATATTCTGTGTTTCCTTATGCTGGTTGCACATCTGCAAAGCTTGATGATCATAGCAGTATTGTGCTGTTACTCTGAGCCAGGTACCATGCCAAGAACTCTCACTATGTTATCTCAATCCTCCCAAGAAAACTGAGGTTTCTTACTTTTTAAGTGAGCAAAATGAGGACAGAAAGGTTAAGTAACTTGCCCAAGTTCACCTGGCAAATACCCCAGCATTACTTGGGTGCAGACGTCCTCGCAAACATTCCTACAGCCTTACTTGGGTGCTGTGCTGCAAGTTGCCTGATATCTTAGGTCAGGGGTCACAGCAGCCTTCAGAAGCTGTCCTAGTGTTACTTTTCAAGTGCATATTAATGATACGACAGGAATGAAGTCATTGCTGTTGGTCCAGAAATTCCAGCCTTGCAGCCTCTTGTTACCCCAGAATTCAAGATTTCCCAGAAGAGCCAGGAGCACATCACCAAGGTTGTCTTTCCTCTGGAACATCAGAGAGCATTCTCCACTGATTTGGAAAATTGGTAAAACTTACTAGAAACACTTAAACACCAGAGAAAATGAAGCTTGTTCCCCTTGTGTTGCTTGGGGCAGATCCCATGAATTGTATGCCATGCCTGGCATCACGGGCCACAATCTAAGTCCATTTATTTGCATTAATATTGCTCATGTATGTTTTTTAATAAACTAAATAGAGTCTTTTTCATGTTATTCTACAACTCATTTTTCACCCAGTATAAGGCATTCATCAGGCTTATTTGAAGACCATCAAAACAAAGCTCCCAAACCTAATTCCACAGCCGCAAACCCCAGTCTTCCTGCTCCTTATCTCCAGGGTTTGTGTGTCCAGTAAGAAGGAAGGAACAATGTCACCTGTAAATGCCAGCATCAGAGGGGAGAGAGTGAGCACCCCCGAAGGGGTCACTTGTGCTTAGAGCCTGCAGCCTCTGGTGCATCATCCATCAGTAATTGAGATCACCTGACCCGTAAACCACCCTGTCAAAGCCAGGCTGCAGAGCCTTACTTAACTTCCTGCCCATCCTCGTCCTTGTCTTCTGATTTCACCCACACTTTATTTGCCTTGATTTGTGGCATGTTTGGCTCTCAAGATTGTTGACCCTCAAAGCAGGGATTGGACCTGCCTCTTGGCGTCTCTGTAACATCTAACACCTCAGTGGTACTCAGGGAATCTCCGATAACATCACCATAGGACCCAGACACCTAATATCAAACCTGTACATCAACACCAGAAGTATTGAAGCAGAAGGAAGAGATGTTTTTGCTTAGATAGGAAGAGTCTTTTCTCCAAAGTCAGACCTCCATTTATCAACCCCAGCTGAGAGCCGCTGCCAGGAAGGCCTGGAAGAGATATTCAGCGTTTGGCTCGAGTCGCTCCTGCTCTCCGGTTTCTATGAGGTCTGGAGAATGACTTTACCCCTCCTGGTTACCACAGCCACGTCTGCATGATATGCAGAGGGAAAGCTGCATAATTTACGATGTGCAAGACCACGATTATGAACTAGGATTTCACAAATCAAGCCCAGTGGAAACCTCACCTGGAGAGCCAGTTAATCTGAAATTGAGCCCCCTTCTCTGTGCGGGCTCACCATCACGCCCACCCGCCTCTTCCCATCATGGAGCAAGCAGCCCCCCAAACAGCCCTGGGGACAGATCTTTCACCAGCTACAGAAACATGGGAAAACATACAGCGATGGAGCACCAGCAGCCGGTTTCATTCAGTCAGCAGAGTCCCTTTAAAAACTTGAAATAGGTCCCCTTTAGGTAAGTGGTAGCCCCCACGGCTCCCTGTTTCACAAACCCTGACCTTTGACACATCTGTAAGTTACCCCCATCTCTGAATGAGTCATGCCCACATAGGACCTTGGAGAAGTGGGTTCCAGTTCTCAGATGTCCTCCTTCCTCCATCCCTGACCAAGGAAGGCACTGGAGAGGTGAGGGGGACCCGCCAGAGAAGGATGCTTACTGTGCTGGTCGCTCCTGTCTTGTGTCCCATCCACGGTGCCATCCGGCAGGATCCTCAGAAAGTGACCCCCGTTGCTACAGTAGAGGAGCTTGGGCTTCTTGTAATTTCCTAGAGGCAGATTAAACTTCTCTGTGAGGGCTGTGAAGGTTGTGATTTCCCCTTCAGCCATGGCTCAGTGGTTGCTGGTTGTGGCACTTTCAAGACTGTAAGAAATTAAACAAACCTGTACAATGTTCTTCTAAGCAAAGGAACTACACATACTTTGAAGATGGGAAATTCAGCTTCAGGGCTCAGGGCTCAGTTAGTAACCACAGACTGCCCAGGTGATGCCCGCAGTAAATGGGCCTGCCAGGAGGCTACTGGTTAAGGAAGGATGGTCTCCGGCATGGGAGGGATTTTCAGGACATTTCTTCCTTCCCAATTGGACAGAGCTTTGAACCAAGCTGTACATTTTTTAGAACTTCAAATGTAATCATTTCACTAGGGAAAAAAAATCATGTTTTGGTCCCTCCTTCTGGTCCACACACATCCTCAAATTAAACACTGAAGTTGCCCTAAAATAACACCTGGGATCTGGCTGAAAGCCACAGACAGTGAGAGGCTGGGAAGGAGGTTCTGCCTTCCACCCTCACGCTGTGCTGACTGGGTGCTGTAAGGTGCGTGTGTGCAGCAGGCAGCACAGATGGCCGGGACATGTGGGGACCTGAGAGCAAAGGTATAGAGACACAGTGGGGATGGTACAGGCATAATATGGAAAGGAAAGAGCCTGGGTTTGCTAGAGGAGCAGGCCTGGATCTAGGGGATAAGGCACTGAGTGGGGTTTTCAAGCACAAACACTGTATCAAAGGAAATCTCAGGAGACGTCATGATGAAGGCTACGCCTGGCGACTGCTTCTTCCCCAGCTTCCCACTTATCCTGTATTACACAGAGAAGGTGGGTCTACCCTTTGCACACAGGCTGTCTTCATCCTCATAGTTTTCTAATATGACACATACTCATCACAACTCAGAAACCACCAAGCTTATATGTTATAAGCCTCTAATGTTGTATGCAGCCACGACATACCAATTTATATTATTAGTGTATAAATGCATCAATTACAACCTTTAAGAATTAAAAAACAAAGCCAGCGGCCATGAGAATTTTAAGAATCTGCTTGTCTCACCATTTAAGGAAGTGCTGGTGACTACAAAAGCTATAAAAAGACAGAGGCCAGAAAGAAACCAGGAAGGGAATGTGGGAACGGCACTTGGTAAGACTGAGTAGTAAGTGTGATCATCAAAGCACGTCAGTTAGCAAGGGGTCTTATAAGAATAGTCACCATCATCATCATTAACATATTCTGGCTACAAGTTAACTCTTTAGCCTCACAAGAGCTCTTTGAAGTGGACACAGATATTATCCTCATTTTTATAAAATGAAACAAAAGACCAGAGATGCAAACGGCCTGGCCAATGTCAACAGCCAGTGAGTAGTGGAGCTAAACCTCACAAGGACTCTATGAAGACAAAGCCCCAGCTTGCCCTTAATCACCATGAAAAGGTTAATTGACTTCACTAATATTGCAGTATTTTTTACTAGAAGTGGGGTTTTTACTCATTGCCTGGCATGTGTATTTAAGCCGTCTGAAATCTGTCATGCTTTTAGTTGTTCATGTATGACCTGAATGTTGGCCGTCTCCACCAATAACTCCACTTTTGTACCAATGCCAAGCTCGAGGCAGGCCCCCACGCAGGCCCTCATGTCCCAGGAGAAGCCCACCCTAGCAGCACTGTGGACTTCACAGAAGACCAGCTAGCCATTCCTTCAGTGGCCTCATACAGCAGCTCCATCCTCAATCAAGGCACCAAGCTTAAAAATGTGTCCTCATGACTTTGGAATTAGGAAGCCTCCATTTGTTTTCTCTGCATTTTAATGTTTCTGGTACACGTCTCTCTTCCTGCAGCCATACTTGCCAGTTACGGCATTGTCCTCAGTTTCAGCTACCGTTAAAGGACCCCTGAAGAGAATTTTGCATGCACCATAAAACTGTATTACAAGTCAGACCATCCCAAACTCTGATCAGTTCTTTTACATAGTGCAATAACAGACAGTGTTATTTATGGTAGTTTCATGGGGAGACCTGCAGGGTTTACCTTGCCCATCACATTGAATTTCCCTCCCAAATCTTCACTTTCTCTTCTAAACCTCTCGCTCTGTGCCCACCTCTGTCTTGATCCTTCTCTCTCCCTTTCTCTGTCTCCCCACTCTCCCCTCTCTCCACCCAGCCTCTTTTCTTCACTCCATCCCCTTCTGGATCCCCTTCCGGTATAAAGCAATTTAGCGCTTCCCAATGTGAATATCTTCACCCATCACCTCCCCGTTAGCCCCCAACCATTACCAGATTCCCTGTCCTTAAAATACAGCTAAGAGATAAATTCTCTTTCATTATTTTTCCCCCAAGCACTTCCTATGTACATAATTTTGAATGAGACAATAATTATATACTAATAGTTACCATTTAACTGTACAAATAGTCATCTGTATGGTTAATGATAAGTGAGCAGAATTTAGTTTCTCATTCTCTCTGGGTTTCCTCCTGTGGAGGTCCCCACTTGCCCCTGGTTATGGGGCAGTGGCATGTTAAGGATGGCCTTTCTTATAGATGAGGCCCAGTGAGGTGTCTTATGTCATTTTCTAAGTGTTGGGCATGGATTTGACTCTGTTCATTGGCATTCTTGCTGCCATTGCATTGGGATGAGGGTGAACAGATATGCCAAAGGCTGATTAAGGTTGGAGTCACCAGCTCTGGCTGAGGACAATACTCATGTTCACGTTCACATGTGTATAAGCCATGAGGCCCGGACTTCACCACTGTGAAGCTCTCACCAGCTAAATGACCTCAGGCAGAGCCCAGCAGATCCTCAGGGGACCCCTCCCTCTGACCACAGTGCAACCTGCTGATAACTCTGCTGTCTACCTGCTCCCCACAGCAAGAGGGACAGCTTTGGGGATGGCTGTACTGATTTCAGATGGCTCCCATAACTGTTCAGCTCAGATCTGTACCTGCAAACATCAGGGAGACATGTTGACTCCTGAAAGTAACCCTGGAATCAACACGCAGCTGATAGGCTGTGGCAGCAGGATTTATGAATCAGCTTAAACATACAACAAATGAAATCCCCTTTTGTATCTGAGAGAAACCCCCTGGGGTCATGAAAAGCCCCTCCCCTTCTTTTTAACTTTACTTACAGTTTTCCTATATTTGATCAGTGGTTGGTCTAAATTTCCTTGCCAATCCACTACTTGTTAAAGGATAGGAATACAGGAAGGATATGAAGTGATAAAACCGTAAGGCAGCAACCTTAGCAGGCCCTTGGGGATTTACACAAATTGCTCTAATAAATGAATCCATTAACTAAGTGAAATCAGGCATTAAGCGTAATGGAAATTTATAAGCTCTGCTTCTCATTACTATTTTCTTTTTATTGGCTGTCAGGGGAGGGGATTATCAGTGTTGTCCTAGGAGACAGAGAAGATCAAGCTCTATGAACTCTATGTCATCATTGTGCACTAAGCCCAGCCCCTGAGGTTTCAGGCACTGGTGAGATTTTAGGAAAGCCAGATGACTTTCTTGATTTGTCAGTGACACCAAAGTGAGGAGAACACCAAGCCTATTGGAACATCTGTGTTAAGGCTGACATACTTGGTCTGGAAGGGAACCTGAACTCTGATACTTGAGCAGGATGTGAAGCATACCCTCTTGCCTGAGAATACAGCCCTCAGTTTTCAATGTGAGGTAGTAAGTGACAACTGCACAGTCGCGGCTATGCCCAGGAGCCTTGGTGAGCCATCAATTCCTTCCGAGATGTTTCCTCTAATGATCCCCACCCTGCCTATCACAAAGAATTGTCTGAAGGATTAAATTGGCACAATATTCAAGTAGCACTTGAAAAGTATAAAAATGTGACCTAACTTGTGGAAGATAATGAGTAGCTAGTTATATTCAACCAGTTAAAGCCTGGTGTGGTCTAAATGGTGATGCTTAATTTAAAATAATTGTTCAATTGGTTTGAAAAATAGTTTTTTATCCTGCCCTCCCCCATGATTTAAGCCACTAATATAGCAGAGAAGATGAAGGGGGCAAAGGTTAGCCATGATTATGGAAGAGAGAATCCTAGAGCATTTCAGGCTCAGGATTCAGTTTATCAGTAGGTTTTGTAGTTATATTTGTGAAGCCTGTTATTTCTAGGACATGTTTGTGCTCAGCTTGGCCCTGGTAACTAAGCTGGAAGGAAAGACTTATGGTCTTAAGAATCAAGGTAAGATAAACACTGACATTTATTCTCTGGTTTTGATTTTAACCCCTATCACTGTTTAAGCAAAGGAGAATGAATGTAAAGGAAGACATTTTGCAAAGTGTATACAGCCACTGGAATTAGGTATATAGGCATCTGCTAAGAAGTTAATTGGGTGCATCCTCAAACCTAGCCTATACAGAACAGAACTCAACTTTGGTTCCAAATAGGCTCCAAGTGCTTTCTCCCTGTCTCTATGATGGCTTCACCAAAAAGCCTTAACTCTTCCTTAGAGACATTAAGTTTAGATTTTTTTAAAGTCAAATACGGATGTTAAATATTAAGGATAACTACTGAAAGAAAATAAATAGAATGTGTTAATTCCAACCAGCAACTAGTAGAGGTAAGGGGGGATGAGGTAGAATAAATAAAACTACTTATCCAAAAGAATCAAGAAAAAGAATATGGATATAAAATTTTAAAAATTGTTCAAAATTAGAATATATCCATCACAATAAATGTAAATGGACTAAATTTCCTAGCTGTTAGATTTTTTAAAAAATCCATCTACACTCTGATGGAAAGAGACACATTTAAAGCATAAAGACACAAGTTAAAAGTAAAAGAGTGGAAATAGGTACTAGATAAATATTAACAAAAACTAAAATTTGCTGTGGCTATATTAATACCAGATAAAATAGGTTTAAAGCAAAAAGAATGATTAAGGATAAAAGGAATCACTGCAATAAAGATAAGTGGAATAATTCAACAGAAAGATATAAAAATTCCAAGTATAGCCTGAAAATTTATAAAACAAAAGTAGACAAATATATAAAGAGAAATTAACAGATACACAATGATGGTGGGAGATTTTAGCACATTTCTATTATAAAGAATAGAGAAAACTCAAAATATTAATAAAAATGTAGAAAATTAAATACATAATTATCAAGCTTTATTGAATAAATGTATAAAGAACCCTATACCCAACAACCAAGTGAACACCATTCTTATCAAGGATACATGGAACATTTACAAAAGTTGGCTGTAAACCTAGATCACAAGGCAAGACTCAACCCAAATAGAAGAATTTGTTTTATTCAGTCTATTCTTTGAGTAGAATAGAAATCACTCCCACCAGCCAGTTGGTGACAGTGCCTTTCAATTTTAGTTTTTGAATATCTCCTAACACCAGCCTCTCTACTTCATTGTCACTGCAGCTGCCTTAGCATAGACTCAACAGCTTCTCTCACGTGGGGTGCTTTAGCAGGCAGCACTGGTCTCTCTCCTCTGGCACAGTCTTTTTCCAGTCTACTTTTAATCTTTCTACAAGTGACCATCCTAACTCATAAATCTGATCCCCTTCTGAAGATCTTTGACAGGGTCAGAGCTTCCCTACTGCCTTCAGGATAACCCCAGACTCTTGCCACGACCTCTGAGGCTTTTATCATTTGGTTCCTGCCTAACCCCATTGCCAATTCTCTTATTGGCCTCTTATTGAAGTCCTCCCACACCCTCACATTCATCCAGACCTTAACCCTAATACTTTCCTCTTGCCAATAGCAGTCTCTCTCTTCCTTTTCTCTGCCTTTCTTCCACTGTGGCCTGGCTAAGTCATACTCACCCTTCACATATTTAGCTCAGCTCACTCCTCCTCCAGATAGCCTTACTTGGACACATCCCCCAACCCTTGTCTCCCTACTCTACCTCCACACCTTACACATGGGTTTGGATTAATTGATTCCCCTGTGCTCCCAGAGTAGCCCTTCCTTTACTTCATCACAGCATGGGGTGTGATTGCCATCTATATTCCCTGCTTAACTCTTCTAGAGTTTCTTCTTGCTCTGGGACAGAGACCAAAGCCTTGACATGGCTTTTAGGACTCCACTGGGGCCATCCTATGCCTCTTCCTTTGCCTCCTCTCCCACCACACTCTCTCCCAACTGGCCCACCATTTCTGTGAAATCACTAGGACCTTTGCCCATGCTGTGTGCTCTATCTGGAACACCATCCTCTCCTTCTCTCTGCCCCACTCACCTGGTTATCTTCTAATTTTTCTTAATTCAAATGTCAATTCCTAAAGAAAGCCTTTCCTGGCTTCCCTTAACTGGGTCAGGTTCCTCCTCTTCTCACAGGACCATTTAACATTTGCTTCAGTTTTTAATTACACATTCATCCCATTCATTCTTGTGATTATTTAATTGATGTCTCTTTTCATGGATCTGTTTTGCTCACCATGGTATCCCAGTGCCTGGTAAGATGCCTGGCATCTAATGGACTCTTGATAAATATTTGTTGAATGAGCAAATGAATATAATTTAACTGTGTTTACTAGACTGAATCTTTCATTAGTCTCTGAGACATAGGGACAGAAACTATGCCTTTTCTTTCTATATCCAGCCCTGAGCCAATACCTGTGATTTGGTGTTCTGCACATTCTTGTTGATTGAAGGGCCAGTCCCTTCTCAGGAGCCTTTAGTGGAAACATCTTATCAGGAGACCTAATTAGCAAATGGTGTCCTAGATGTTGATGAAGAAGCTAAGCCAGGAATCTAAGTGTTGTTGTGCCGATATCATAACAAGGTTTGAGGGAGGCACATCTCACGTGTGCATGTGAACCCTTAGTTATCACACTTATGAGCTACAGAAGGACCATGTTGAAGTATATTTTGACTGAGTTCAAAGTAAACTGGAATATCCTACCCTTGGTTAAAAGCAGACCCAAACCCAGTTCCCATATAGTAGCAAATACTTTTTTACTTCTTCCAAGGAAATACGATAGAAATTAAGGATCTCAGAGAGGAAGGGATAAGATCCTTTGGTATTAAGTCTGACATCCTTATCTGACAAAAATAAATAAAAAAGATTTATAAAGCCTAGAAAAAATTTTCAGGTTTTGTTACATAGCATTTCTGGCAGGGTATGTCAGGCTGGCCAGGACCCACCTCACACACCCTGTTGAAGGAAAGTTCGGCTGAAGAAAGGGAGGCAATGCATGCTTTCCCCTGTCCATGCCCCTACTCCACGCCTGACAATGCATGCTTTCTCCTGTCCGTGCCCCTACTCCACGCCTGACAGTGCATGCTTTCTCCTGTCTGTGCCCCTACTCCATGCCTGACAATGCATGCTTTCTCCTGTCCGTGCCCCTACTCCACGCCTGAAGATCTGTACCTGACTGGTCTGGGCGAGGGTAGCAGCATGCTGCCCCCACACCAGTTCTACTCCATGAGCTGAGATCCCTTCTTCCACACTTGGCAGCAAGCTGTAGACTTGACTATGGGATGGACTTGACAATGGTGTGTAGGAGACAGCTCCCACAAATTCTTGAAAGCCAATTATTAAATAGGAATTTTGCTGGTTGATTGTTAAACTAGTCACGGTATGAAATCAGCCATGGTGAGAATATTTTTACCACAGATATTGGCTAATGCTGTAAATTAAGGCTTTTAAATTTTTCTTTCTTTTATTTCTCTTCTGATAGCTGGTTCACGGCATCCTATAAGACTTGGGTTTGAATTCTAGTTGGACACTCATGAGCAAATTACTCATTCTCTCATAGCCTCCGTTTTCTTACTTGCAAATGGGGCTCCATAACAGTGGCTCCTACACAGAGTCACGGTAAGTATTAAATGATAACACATAAAGAGTACTAAGCCCAGCGTTCAATAGATGTCAGCTGGATTGCCATCATCTCTTTACCCTGCTGTTAATTTTCCTAATCATCTGTGCCAGTGATTTAGGACTGAACAGATTTGACTTTTAACATTTAGTAATATGTTAGCAATATTTGAAAAATGCCATTTTCTAAGTGATAGGTTAGAAATTTTCATTGTCACTTATGTGCAATAAATCTCTCCTCTCCTTTGCTGAGATGCTGAAGATGATATGCTGGTGACAAGTTCTCAGTATATTTCACAAGTCTTACTGTCCATGATGATGGAGAACTCATGGGTATAATAGTCTTTCTCTCTTTTTTCTTTCTTTCTTTTTTTAATTGAATGGTAACTATATACATTAATGCATTTCTGGGGTACAGTGTGGTGTTTTCACATACAATTTGAAACATTTCATCAAACTGGTTAACATAGCCTTCATGTCATTTACCTAGTTATTGTGCAAAACGTTCATATTCTACTCTTAGAAAGGTTCACTTGTACCCTTGTAAGATAAACCACAGAAGTGATCCCTCCAATCCCTCTCCCTCCACCCATTCCCCCCTCCCCTCTAGTCTTTCTTTCTTGCTCTTTACTTTAGAATCCTTCTAATCCTAAAAAATCCCCAAGTCACTGAGAATAAACTGTTCCCGGGTTTCCAGAATCAAACATTATTTGAGGGAAATCACAATGTCTCACTCTTGATGTCAGCAACTTCTTACTCAGTGCCTGCCATGGGCAGAATGCTGCAAATGTCCTAGGAAATTTAAAATGGAAAAGAAAGGGATGAAAAGAAAAGCTGAAATCCCTAATTCACAGTTCTGAAATCCAAAACGCTCTGAAAACTAAAGTTCTCTTATAACTCAGATTGTGACAAAATCTGGCCCAAACTATCCTAAAACTTAAGGTCTTTGTCCCCCTTTGTGTTAATATTTATGCAGGCTGGTATAGAATTACTATTGTATTTGATGCTAGGGTACTGTTGCAGACCCCACTGGAATTGTTCCATAATATTTGATATATGTGCTATACTGTCTTTTTAAAGGCCCCCAAATTCTGAATTCTGAAATACATCTAGACCAAAGCTTTTCAAATAAGGGATTAAGGACTGGCAGTAGAAATCACTTTTTGCCTTTGAGTTTACAAGCTAGCCCTACCAGTCTCATTGAGCCATGTTTCAGATGAGAAGGGTGTAGATGCTGGGACCCAGTGTCATGGCAGGAAGTGGGGGCTGTTAATCTGGTCGGGCCGAATCCCTGAGTAGCCGGATCCCAGCCTCAGCTCACACAGCCCTTAATGAAGAGTAGGGAAATATAAGAGACAGGCACAAGCATCCCCAAGGATCTTCTCCAGTGCCCTTTACTTCTCCCTTTGATTCTGGATTATTTTTTGCTCTGCTGTCTGGTTTATCCACTCACAAAACACTTCCCTGCCATAGAGCTTCCCTCACTTAGAGGTCAGGATTTTTTTTTTTTTAAATGCTTAAAGAAAATAGCATCCACTTCAAGAGGCAAAACAGACTGCTCCCTGGTGCATCAGTGTACTCTGCTGGCCCCAATTCTGTCTGAACTTTAATGCTACATCCTGGTCCAGAGCATTCTGCAGGCTCTGGGCCATCCCAGAGACCTGTACACATCTTGAACGGAAATATCCTTCCTGCAGACTGATGCATTAAAGCCCCAGGGCTTCGAGCCCAGTGCAAAGTGATTCTGCAGGGGCTCTGACAGCCCTCCACCCCTTCCTTTAACCTTCTCTCACTGATGTGTCTCCAAAAATCTTTTGAATCTGTTGTGCAAGTTACAATTTCCAGAACCAGCCCAGCAAGGACATTCCTTTCTCCAAGTCAGCCAGCCTTCCCGCTCATAGGAAG